CCACACCGCCGGTGCAGCGCCTGGCCCGTGGCGTCTGTGGCAGGCTGGAACCCGGGCCTCTCAGGGTTACGGGTGTCCTGCCCCGCTCTTCCCGTGAACCCCAACAGCAGGGAAGCAGCACCTCGTCGGTTACCGCATGAGGAGGCACACGGGGCAGCCCAGCGGGGGACTCCCGGGCTGTGGGGGCCGGGGAGGGACACCCCTCATGGCCCTGTGGGATCTTTCCTTCTCTTCTCACTTTGCTGGGCCAGGTCCAGGGTGGGCCCCCTGTGCACCAGGCTCTCCGCAGGCTGCACCCAGCCAGGCTGGGCAGGAGTCCGGCCCAGAGAATCCGGTGTGCTGAGCCCCCACCCTCTACTCCCCAACCCTGGGATCCGGGGCTTTCAGAGCCCCAGCTGCTCCAGAAAGGGGACTGGAGGACAAAGGCGGTGGAACTGCCACATGCCCCCACCAGATTCTCTCCCCGCCATCCACACTGTCCCGGCCGCTGGTGCCTCCCGGAGAGTCACACCCCGCAGAAGACAGAAGGCCAGCCCCTCCCAACGATCCGGCCGGAAGGGGACCGAGCTCCCCGCGCCACGGCTGGCCAGCCCCTCCCCTTGCTCAGGCGGGTTAATTACGCCCGGGCTGTTTCCCATTGGCACGGCCATGCCCACCCACAGAGCTGCAGGCCGGCACCCTGGAGGCTCCTGACCCCTGGCCCTCCTGGAGGTGCCCTCCTGGCTTCGATACCCTCCGCACCCCCTTCACCCACACCAAGCCCCCTCCCTCCCGCTCCACCAGGCTGAGCTCACATCCAGTCGTGCCCCAACCCCCAGCACTCTGGGGGGCTGATCGCAAAGCCAGGCTTCTCTTGGAGAGCGTGGGGCTCCCTGGGCCCACTGGGAAGGAGGCCGGGCCACTGTGCTGCGTCCAGTCTGTCTTGTCTCTGTTCACTTTCCCCACAGCTCCTCCGGCTCTCGGGCTGTGACGCGGAGGGGACAGGAGACAGGAGGGGCAGGGGCAGGCCTGTTATCAGCTTCAGAGCCCAGGACCAGCCGCACACATGCCCTGCTCACCCAGGCAAGGGGCATTTCTGTCCTCATGAGTGTGAGGGGCACAAACCCACCGGCCCCTCAAGGGGCTCTGGGCTGGCATCTGGAGCAGGGGCACAGCTGGCAGCACAGGGAACAGCAGTCCGACAGGGGCCAAGCCCCAGGACAGGGCCAGGGCAGCCATTAACCTGCTTCCCTAGGATTCACTCACGGGGCTGGAGAAACCAGCAGAACACTGAGGGTCTGTGCAGCCCAGCCCTGGTCCAGGGTGGTTTCACCTGGCCTGCGGGGGCCAGGGCACCTTCCCAGCCAAGGCTCCGCTGGGTGCCTGGAGCCAGGCCACCATCCCCCTATCCTCCCTCATCCCCCGACAGTGTCACCTGCAGGCGGGCACCTTCCCCTTGGGACTCCCTTGCACAGAGGGGAAGCCTGAGACTGGGAGCAGAAACCCAGCAGACAGTGGGATAGGTGTGGGGAGAGGGCGTAGATGGAGGGTCCAGCAGCCGCCTACGCTTGTGCAAGGTTGTGTGTTCACATACAGCTGGGAGTGGTGGTGTACTCTGTACTCCCAGCATTCAAGAGGCTGAGGCAGGAGGATCTCTGTGAATTCAAGGCCAGCCTGTACTACATAGTGAGCCTCGAAAATCTCAAGTGTGTTCACACAGGTCTACTTTTTTCCAGGAGGTCCACAGATTTTTCAGATTCTTGGAGTCACTCCGGGCCTCACATATGCTAGAGAAGTGCTCAGCCGCTGTTCTCATCCAGGTCCAAATTTAAGACACATTTACAGGTGAGAAAGGTGGTGCAGATGAGGGACACCTGCCACACCCAGCAGCACGCGGCACAGCGGCACACACCTATGATCCCAGCACACATTCCAGCCCAGCCTGGGCAATTCAGCAATTTAACAAGAGTCTGTCTCAATTTTTTGTTTGCTTTTTGAGACAGGCTCTTCCTTTGTAGTTCAGGCTGGCCCTGAACTCTTGGCGACCCTCCTGCCTGAGAGCTGGGATTACAAACGTGAGCCCCCATGGCCGGCTCTGTCTCAAAATTTAAAAAATAAATAAAAAGGGCTGAGCATTCAACTCAGGGCAAAGGTCCTGGGTTCAATCCCCAGTTCCACAAAAGAAAAAAAAAATGTAGGGGCAACAATTCTCTGAAATGAAGGAGCAGACTTGGATCCCATGGCTGTGCCCCCGGCAGCCTGGACAACGCTGCTCCTAGAATCTGGGCAGATCTGGGAGTTGGGGGACACAGAGACCCTCACTCTCCTGGGGCACAGAGGAATTTCGACGTGGAGAACATCACAGCTCCCCGCCTGCTCCCAAGGAGCCTGTGGCAGCAGGAGGGGTCCCAGGCCCAGGGAGCAGGGTCTGGGCGGGAAGGGGACACAGCTGAGCAGGAAACGGCAAAGTAGGGGGCTGCAAAACCAGCAGCACCCGGGCTGAGGGACGGCACAGGCCAGGGCTCCGGGAGGACCCTCCCTGCCAGCGCTGCAATCCCAGAGCCCCGCGGGAGGGATCCGCAGCTGCCGGGCCTAGCGCCTTACGTCTCCCTCAGCCCTGTGGTTCTGATCACTGCAGTCAAGGTTCTCTGTGACTGAGACGACTGAGTTGCGGGGACTCGGACACCATGATCAGGGCTGGGAGGAAAGGCGTCGCCGCCCTGTCCTGCCGGGCCCCGTCTTTCACTGGGCTCCAGGGTGGCAGCCTGGAGCCGGTGGTTACCTCAGGGTTGCACCACCCCAGTCCTCCCACACTGGCCCAGAACTGCCCTTCTCCAGGAGTTGTTCACTAAGGGTCTGGAGGCGGGTGTGGGCGGCGCCCCAAGCCCTGTTAGGTAATCGGACCCTGACGATCCCCTTGGAGGAGGGGGCGCCACCGGTGAGACCTGCGCATCTCAAAGCAGGACTGTCAGGGCTGGAAGCAGCTGGGGCCGAGCCTTCCCGCGCCCCCCGGTCCCGGGCTGGCAGGGTGGGCTGGGAAAAGGCCCGCTGCGCCCTCCCGCCCTCGGAAGG